AACCCCGGACAAGCGGAAGATGATGGATGGATGGATGGAAATGACAGACCATTTGAAATACAAATGAGAACATGCATCCATTTGAATACTCTGGTTTTCTTATTGTCAAAGTAGCTGTTCTGTTACCTTGAGGAAATGGATGTGATCCTCTGTGTGTGAAAGCTGCTCCAGCTCAGAGTGTCTCCTCTTCAGCTCATAGATCTCCTGTTTCATTCTCTCCATGTCTCTTTCAGCCTGACTCACTGCACCCTTCAACTGATTTCTGATCAGCTTTGTCACCTCAGAGCGTCTTCTCTCAATGGAGCGGATCATCTCAGTGAAGATCCTCTCGCTGTCCTGTACTGCTGACTGTGCTGATCTCTGTTGGTGACACAGGGAGCAGAGGACAGTAAATTACAATTGGCCCCTTTTGAGACTCCAGAGAGCCTCATTGTACAATAGTGATGTGAGCTGACAGGAGGTATAAAAACAGCACAGGGCTGGGGTTTGGAGCGTCATGATGCTGGATGCCTCAGGTAGTGAAACCTGAGCATTGGCAGAGACTGGTGGCAGGTTGGTTGTCACCATTGCGTCTCAGTTTAATTGGTAACTTCATGGTGTTTATTTCCATTGCACAGGTATATGAAAACTTGCTTTTTCTCAAATAAGCCTTAAATGGCATTTTTCCAAAGAAGTAGGATAACGCCTGTAACCCCAGGTTAGTTAAACCCTGTTTGTGAGCATGAGCCCGGATCGCTTGCAGGAACCACGCCCCCCAGCCCGATGTATCTCGCCTGAATACTGACAGCTGATTCCTTTTACTCCTGGTTACTGGTAGTATAAAATCCGGTAAACTGGGTAAACTGGCTTTATCAATGTAAGGTTTAATCTTATCATGCTAGACTGCTGAGTGTTTCTCTGCCACGGTTCTCCCATGTTGGTGAGGTTCCTCCTGTGACCCTTTGTGTGCCTGATCTCCCAGACCCTCCCACCGAAGTGACTGCTGATCCCGACCCCCATCTAGGTGTGCCTGAGTGTCTCTCCTTCACCGTGTCCCCATGAGTGTTTGCCTTTTCCCTCACTCCCCTGGGTAGATTACCTTCCTTTCTGATCTCTGTTACCAACCCCGACTTTGACTCCTGTACTGTGCTTAGGCTCTATCACTGCACCCTGTTTGGGTGCCCTGTTCCTGTTCTGTCTCATGACCCTGTTATCTGGCACCTTTGTCCCACCAAACCTCTGACCCAGAGTAACCCACAGTGACCTTAGTATGATTAATCCGCTCAGATCTATAAATCTGTTAACTCTGGGGAAGA